GGATTTCAGATGAAAAGCTCCATCTGAAGAGATCATAAAAAACTTTTATGCAGTAGGCATTCTAAGTGAGTAGCATTTCTGCTTTTTATTTATTTTACTAATTATACATTATTCAGTGAAACTTTAATATTACTATATTATAAAATTCAGTCAAATGGAAAAAAGAAAAGATAACTCATAATCACACTACCCCAAAATAACCAATCTTAACATTTTAGTGCACTTCAGTCTTATTCCCTTGTGTACAATTATGCAGAGTTGTAATATTGAATATACAATTTTCATCATGCTTTTTTTTCTCTTATCATTATAAGCATTTTTAATGTTGTTGCTACATGATCTCTATGGTTATCATTGTTAATAGCTACACAATATTTCACATAATTGAAGTGCCTTTATTTACTTAACCACTCTATTATCTTTAAACTAAGCTTGACTTTCTTACAATAAGCATGTATATCTTTTTGGTTGTAGTGTTCTTTTCTTTAACACCCTGAGTTTTTTAAATGTTTATATTTTATTTTGTTTAACATATGACAAAATTGCCTTTTTAAATTGTACAATTCATATTGCACAAGGGAAGACAGATGTGATGTGCCCTTTGTCTAAAGTAAGGATTGTCTCAGACACTGGAAATTAGGAGAGAGGCTCACAGAAGGAATAGACATGGTTGTGACCCTGTTTGGCTTTTTAGCCTTGAGAACTGTGAGACAATGAATGTCTGGTCTTAAAGCCAATCACTAGTATTTCTTCTATGGTAGCACTGTTGTTGTTGTTGTTGTTATGTGCCGTCGAGTCAGCCCCGACTCATAGCGACCCCTCCTTGGGTTTCCGAGGCAGTATCACTACGGAAGTAGGATTGCCCAACCTTCCTTCCGAGGAGTGGCTGGTGGGTTTGAACCGCCAGCCTTCTGGTTAGCAGTCAAGTGCTTTAGCCACTATGCTACCAGAGCTCTAGGAGCCACTAATTGTCTGTCAGTTTGTCATACTGTAGTGGCTTGCATGTTGCTTGAGGTCGCAGGCTATGCCACTGGTATTTCAAATACCAGCAGGGTCAACCATGGTGGATGGGCTTCAATAGAGCTTCCAAACTAAGATAGACTGGGAAGAAGGACAGAGCCATCCACTTCTGAAAAAATTCAGCCACTGAAAACCCTATGAGTAGCAGTGAAACATTGCCTAACATAGTGCCAGAAGAAGAGTTCCTCAGGTTGGAAGGCACTCAAAATATGACAGGGGAAGAGCTGCCTCCTCAAAACAGAGTCTATCTTAATGATGTGGATGGAGTAAAGCTTTCAGTACCATCATTTACTGATGGGACATAACTCAAAATGAGAAGAAACAGCTGCAAACGTCCATTAATAATTGGAACATGAAGTGAATCTAGGAAAATTGGAAGTTGTCAAAAATAAAGTGGAGCACATACAGAGCAGTATCCTAGGCATCACTGAGTTGAAATGGACTGATATTAGCCATCTTCAATCAGTTCTACTGTAGATCTATGATCTACTGTGCTTGGAATTACAAATTGAAGAGGAATGGTTTTGCATTTATTGTCAAAAAGAACATTTCAAGATCTATCCTGCAGTACAATGCTGTGAGTTATAAGATAATATCCATACTCCTGCAAGGAAGAAAAGTTAATACTACTATTATTCAAATTTACTCAACAACTACTAAAGCCAAAAATGACAAAATTGAAGAATTTTACCCACTTCTGCAGCCTGAAATTGACCAAACATGCAATCAAGATGTATTGATTACTACTGGTGATTGGAATGTGAAACTTGGAAACAAAGAAGCATTGGCAGTTGGAAAATATGGCCTTGGCAATAGAAATGACATTGGAGATTGTATGATAGATTTTATAAGACCAATGACATATTCAAATACCCTTTTTCAACAAAATAATCAGCAGCTCTACATATGGACCTCACCAGCTGGAATACACAGTGATTAGAAAAATTACTTCTGTGGAAAGAGACAGTGGAGAAACTCAATATCATCAGTCAAAATAAGGCTAGGAGCTGACTGTGGAACAGACCATCAGTTGCTCATATGCAAGTCCAAGTTGAAGCTGAATAAAATTAAAACAAGTCTATAGGAGCCTAAATGTGATCTTGATTCTATCCCACCTGAATTTAGAGATCATCTGAGGAACAGATCTGATGCACTCTACACCAGTGACCAAACACCAGACAAGCTGTGGGATGACATCAAGAACATCATACATGAAGGGAGTAAAAAGTCAATAAAAAGACAGGAAAGGAAGAAAAGACCATAATGGATGTCAGAAGAGACTCTGACACTTACTGTTGAAAGGAGAGTAGCTAAAGAAAATGGAAGAAATGATGAAATAAAAGAGCTAAACAGACGATTTCAAAGGGCAGCTTGAGAAGACAAAGCTAGGCATTATAATGAAATATACAAAGACCTGGAGTTAGAAAACCAAAAAGAAAGAACTTACATGCCATTTCTCAAGCTGAAAGAACTGAAGAGAAAATTCAAGCCTCAAGTTGCAATGTTGGAAATTTTATGGGCAAAATATTGAATGATGCATCAAAAGAAGCATCAAAAGAAAATGGAAGGAATACACTATGTTACTGTACCAAAAAGAATTGGCCAATGTTCAGCTATTTCAGGAGGTAGCATGTGATCAGGAACCAATGGTGTTAAAGGAACTCCAAGCTGCACTAAAGGAATTGGTGAAAAACAAGTCTCCAGGAATTGACGGAATATCCACTGAAATGTTTCAACAAACGGTTGCAGTGCTGGAGGCACTTACTGGTTTATGCAAAGAAATTTGGAAGACAGCTACCTGGCCAGCAACTGGAAAAAATCAATATTTGTGCCCATTCCAAAGAAAAGTGATCCAACAGAATGTGAAAATTATCAAACAATATCATTAATATCACACACAAGTCAAATCTGCTGAAGATAATCAAAGAATGGTTGCAGCAGTATATTGACAGGGAACTTCCAGAACTTCAGGCAGGATTCAGAAGAGGACGTGGAATGAGGAATATCAGTGCTGATGTCAGATAGATCTTGGCTGAAAGCAAAGAATACCAGAAAGATGTTTACCAATGTTTCATTAAATATTCAAAGGCATTTGACTCTGTGGATCATAACACATTATGTGTAATATTGCAAAGAATGGGAATTCCAGAACAATTAATTGTGCTCAAGAGGAAGCTATACATAGACCAAGGGACTGTCACTCAAACAGAACAAGGAGATACTACATGGTTTAAGATCAGGAAAGGTGTCCATCAGGATTTTATTCTTTCACCATTCTTATGCAATCTGTATGCTGAGCAAATAATCTGAGAAACTGGACTATATGAAGAAGAATGTGGCATTAGGATTAACAGCCTGCGATATGCAGGTGACACAACACTGTTTGCTGTAAGTGGAAAAGATTTGAAGCACTTTCTGATGAATATCAAAGACTACTCTCTGATGAAGATCAAAGACCACTGTCTTCAGTTTGGATTACACCTCAACATAAAGAAAAAAAAATCCTTAAAATGGGACCAATAAACAACATCATGATATATGGAGAAAAGATTAAAATTGCCAGGGATTGCATTTTACTTGGATCCATAACTTACACCCACGGAAGCAGCAGTCAAGAAATCACACGTTGTATTGCACTGGAAAATGTGCTGCAAAAGACCTCTTTAAAGTGTTAAGGAGCAAAGATGTCACTTTGAAGACCAAGGTGAACCTAACCCAAGCCATGGTATTTTCAACAGTCTCATCTGCATTGAAAGCTGAACAATGAATAAGGAAAACAAAGAATTGGTTCCTTTGAATTGTGGTGTATTGGCAAAGAGTATTGAAAATGCCATGGACTGCCGTGAACATCATACATGAAGGGGAAAAAAAACTCTGTCCTAGAAGAAGTGCAGCCAGAATGCTCCTTAGAAGCAAGAATTGCCAGAATTTGTCTCACCTCCTTTGGTCATGTTGTTCAAAGGGACCAGTCCCTGGAGAAGGATATCATGCTTGGTAAATTAGAGGGTCAGAGGAAAAGGGGATGATCCTCAACAAGATGGATTGACACAGTGGCTGCAAAATAAACTCAAACATAGCAAGGATTATGAGGATGGCTCAAGACCCAGCAGTGTTTTATTCTGTTATATACAGGGTCACTATGAGTCAGAGCCAACTTGATTGCACCTAACAACAATTCATATTAATTACACTCACAGTACTGTACAACCATCATTACTATCAATTTCTAAAAGTTTTATGTCACCCCAAACAGCAACTGAGTACTCATTGAGCAATGATTCCCTATTCTTCTCTCCTCAAAGCCTCTAGTAACTATCAATAAACTTTTGTCTCCATTAATTTGCTTGTTTTAGACATTTCATGCAGGTGAGATCATAAAACATGTGTCCTTTTGTATCTGAATTATTTCACTCAGAATGTTCTCAAGGTTCAGTCATGTCATAGCATGTATCAGAGCTCCATTTTTCTTTATGGCTGAATATGTAGTGTTCTTTTCACACCTTGAGTTATTTCACATAGAGTTAAAACTGCTTGGTCAAAGAATATGTGTGTGTGTGTATATATATATATATATATATATATATATATATATAGTCTCTTGATAAGTATTTTCAAAGAGATTTTTTTAAATAAGCATCAATTTACCCAAGGCATTTGACTGCTAACTAGAAGGCTAGGGGTTCAAACCCACCAACCACTCCTCAGAAGGAAGGTTGGGCAATCTACTTCCATAGTGATACTGCCTCAGAAACCCAAGGAGGAGTTGCTATGAGTCAGATCTGACTTGACAGCTGTTTGTGCATGCATGCATATCAGTATAAAGAAGGGCCATTGTATTACTGTCCTCTCATGAATAGAACTTTGACATGTGGGTATATATGGAAGATGAAGGCATTCCAACACCAAAGCCTGAGCTACACCTTCAGAAAAGTACCCTGGTCCTCAGTAGTATACCTGTTTTGTGTTGCTATTTCTTGCAGACTGAACAGTTGATAACTCTGTGGGTCCTCTTTGTTTTCACCATTGTTGGCAATGCCATTGTGCTGTTCTCCACATGGAGGAGGAAGAGGAAGTCAAGAATGATCTTCTTTGTAACTCAGCTGGCCATCACAGGTAAATAAGTAACTGTGCAGATGGGAGAGGAGGAAGCTATGTGCCAAATCTCTATAGTTCTTCATTTTCAATTATTTTTCCAATAGCTGTAATATCAACAGTCCAATGCATTAGGAAGTTCTGAAATAATTTTTATAGGGATATAAAACTCATGTTTGAACATCTCCTCCAGCAAATTGAACACATTTAAATGCCCATTCCATTATAAGATTTCATTATAAAAGTACCTCACTATACAACAAACTTGGTAATACTGTTATCAATGCACCAGGTACAAAGGGTCCTATAGGGCTTCACTCTACCTATACCCAGTGTTTCACATAGCAATCTCTGTGGTTCACTAAGGTGATGGATATACTATCCACATACCTCCAGAAGGGTAATTATGAACATAAGGAAGACATTCCAGAAAATGGACCTAAATTATCTCAATAGAGTAACATCTTAGGCTGGGTTCTCTAGAGAAGCCAAAGCAGTGAAACTTAGAGAATTTTATCTCAAGTAAATGGCTCACACATTTGAAGAAGCTGGCAAGGCCCAAGTCCCTGGGTTAGACATCAAGCTGGAGGCTTCTCCTGACTCATATAATTTCAGGAGCTGATGAGACAAGATCAGCAGGAGATACAGTGGGCTGCTGGCTTTGGAGGCTGATGAATCCAAGATTAGCAGGTAAGATGTCAGGCTGTCGACTCACTGGCTGCAAAGGCAACAATCTTAAGATCAGCAGGAAATATGGCAGGCCACTGGTTCAAGTCCAAGAACGAACCAGAAATGATGATGAGCCAGATGCAAGATCCAGAAAGAACAAAAAGCCAGAGAGCTTTACCAGAGCTTTTCCATATTGGAAGCAGGCTACACCCAGAAGGAAACTGCCTTTCCACTGATTGGCTGCTCACAGCAGATATCATCAAAGAGATGATTACATTCTATCAGATCTCATCATGGGAATAACTACATCATAACAGGTAAACCACTTAGAATCATGGTGCAGATAAGTTGACACACAACCTTAACTATCAAAAATAATAAATGTGAAGTCTAAAGTATTTCTGAAGATTTAGTCTGTGAGTATTGCTTTTGATATGCAAATTATATGGAATAGCACTTTTGGGAACACTATAAGGAAATAAAATAATATTCACGACTCTTAAATGCAGGCTTTGGGAATGGATGTTACAATCAAAGTGTATGGTCACACATAGAGAAGATTGCTGAGTCAGCCACCAACTCATTGTGACTCCACACGCAATGGAAAAAATGCTACTTTGTCCTGCATCATCCCCATGATTAGTAGCAGATCAGACCATTGTGATCCAAAGGATTTTCATTGGCTGATTTATTGGAAGTAGATCTCCAGGCCTTTCTTCCTAGTCTGTCTTAATCTGGAAGATCCAATGAAACCTATTCAGCATTAAAACAACACGCAAGTCTCCACTGACAGTCAAATAGTGACTGTGCATGAGATTCATTGGCTGGAAATCATGATATATTGTCAAGGAAGTGATGAGCTGTGAAAGAAAGACTCCTACAAGGATAGATAGAGTCCAAACTGGATGAGCTCACATTTTAAAGAAAACACAACCTAGGAGAGTCCTGTTCCAATGTCAGAGGAATGAGTGGGCAGATGGGATTCACTGAAGTTCCCACCTAAGCCGGACTTCAGAGTCTTGAGTTCTGGGAGCAAGATGGCTGCCCAATTAGTTTAATTTGGATCAGGCTATAGAAAAGAAGTGAAAAAGAAAAAAAAAATTAAGTGCTCACAGGAACAATGGAAGAGGAGTGTGAGGAAGTGCTGTTGATACATTTCAACCTGTACTATCATCTCAATTACAGTAAAGGCAGTAGAAAGGTTTTTGGAATTTAGTCTTAATCCATGTTGTTGTTGTTAAGTGTCATCAAGTCATTTCCAACTCATAGCAACCCCATGCACAACAGAACGAAACACTGCCTGATCCCACACCAGCCCCACAATCCCTGCTATACTTGAGCCCATCATTGCAGCCACCATATCAATCCATCTTGTTGAAGGCCTCCCCCTCTTTGGTTGACCCTCCACCCTACCAAACATGACATTCTTCTCCAGGGAATGGTCCCTTCTTACAACATGACCAAAATAGGTGAGACGAAGTCTGGCCATTCTTGCTTCCAAGGAGCATTCTGGCTGCACTTCCCCCAGGACAGATCTGTTAGTTCTTTTAGCAGTCCATGGTACTTTCAGCATTCTTCACCAGCACCACAACTCAAAAGCATCAACTCTTCTTCGGTCTTCCTTATTCATTGTCCAGCTCTCACATGCATACCAGGCAATTGGAAATATCATGGCTTGTGTCAGGCGCACCTTAGTCCTCAAGGAGATATCCTTGCTCCTCAGCACTTGAAACAGTTCCTTCACAGTTGACTTTCCCAATGCTACATGTCGTCTAATGTCCTGACTGCTGCTTCCGTTGGCATCGATTGTAGAACCAAGCAACGTGAATTCCTTGACAACCTCAATCTTCTCTCCATTTATTGTGATGCTGCTCCTTGGTCCAGTTGTGAGGATTTTTGTTTTCTTTATGTTGAGATGTAATCCATACTGCAGACTGTATTCTTCAACCTTCATCAGTAGGTGCCTTAAGTCATCCTCACTTTCAGCAAGCAAAGTTGTATCATCTGCATATCTCAGGTTGTTAATGATTCTTCCTCCAATCCTGATACCATGTTTTTCTTCATACAGTCCAGCTTCTCAGATTATTTGCTCAGCATATAGATTGTATAAGTGTGGAGAAAGGATACAACCCTGATGCACTCCCTTCTTGATTTTAAACCATGCAGTGTCCCCTTGTTCTGTTCGAATGACAGCCTCCTGGTCAAGGTACAGATTCCTCATGAGTACAATCAAGTGCTCGGGAATTCCCATTCTTCTCAATGTTATCCATAATTTGTCATGATCCACACAATGAAATGCCTTTGCATAGTCAATAAAACACAAGGAAACATCTTTCTGGTATTCTTTGCCTTGAGCCAAGATCCATCTGACAACAGCTATGATATCCCTTATTCCACATCCTCTTCTGAATCCGGCTTGAACCTCTGGAAGTTCTCTGTCAATATACTGCTGCAAACGTTTCTGAATTATCCTCAGTAAGATCTTACTTGTGTGCGATATTAATGATATTGTTCTATAATTTCCACATTCTGTGGGATTATCTTTCTTTGGAATGGGCACAAATATGGATCTCTTTCAGTCAGTTGGCTAGGTAGCTGTCTTCCAAATCTCTTGGCATAACTGAGTGAGTGCCTCCAATGGGGCATCTGTTTGTTGAAATATCTCAATCGGTATGCCATCAATTCCCAGAGCCTTGTTCTTTGCCAGTTCTTTCATTGCAACTTTGACTTCTTCCTTTATTACCGTTGGTTATAGATCATATGCCACTTCCTGAAATGGATGAAGATCGATCAGTTCTTTTTGGTACAGTGACTGTGTATTCCTGCCATCTTCTCTTGATGTTTCCTGCATCATTCAATATTTTGCCCATAGAATCTCTCAATATTGCAACTCGAGGCTTCAATTTGTTCTTCAGTTCTTTCAGTTTGAGAAATGCCGAGCGTGTTCATTCTTTTTGGTTTTCAGACTCCAGGTCTTTGCACATTTCATTATAGTAATTGGCTTTGTCTACTCGAGCTGCTCTTTGAAATCTTCTGTTCATTCTGTTTTGGTTCATGCGATAATGTCTTGATGTCTCAGCTACCCAAGTTGCTTTTGGTGTGAAGAGTTTGGGATGGGTGTACGAAGGAAACAAGATCTTGGTGTGCAGCCTGGAAGCAGAACGTTGCTTCTCAAAGCTGGATAACGCACTTGATGACTTCATATGTATCAACCTCACAGGCAGTCCTTCCAATCTCATAATCAGTGACAACATGGACAAGAGGGTGAGGATTCATGACCTCCACACTGACAAAATTCCTCTGTCACTCTCTACTCACCAACTTGAAGTATCCTCAGTCCAGATGGATGATTGGAAGATCCTCAGTGGTGGTGAGGAAGGCCTTGTCACTGTGTGGGACTATTGCATGAACCAAAATCTGTGGGAGGGACATTCCCGGCACGCCATTTGTCACATAGCCTTCAACAGTCACAGCCTCATCACAGCCAACATGCCCTAAAAGAGGGTGGTGCACAACGCTGACCTGGACAGCTTCACCACACACAGGAGACACCAGGGGCTGATCCACACCCACAAGTTCACAGTGGACCAGCTGGATTTCCAGAGCTCCCTGCCTATCTGCTCTTCATCCTATGGTACCATGGCCAGCTACAACTATGACCTCATGCTCACTTTCCCCTATGAGAGTGTGAGGGAATGACCTCAGGTGGCAGCAGGGAGGAGAATCAACTTCATGAAGTCTAAAACTGGGCACTGGGCTTAAATGTTGGGGGGGAAGGAAGCAGCCCTGGGGTGCACTGGGATGACACCTTTGCTTTTAGTAAAGGCTTGCATGCTTTTGAGTGTCTTGTTATATAAGTTTGTTAAACTGCCACCAACACTGCTGCTGCTGATCACTGCTTGAGCCCATGGACCCCTCTCTTGTGGAGATTCTTCCTGCAAGTAGGATCCTGCAAGTAGGATGGGGCCAGGCAGAGGGCTTCTCCACCTGGATAACATAACCTTACAAATTTGTATAGTCTAATAGGGCACCTAACAACAACAATAACAACAGTAGAGTAGTTAACTATATATTCTACTGTTGTTGTTGTTGTTAGGTGCCCTATTAGACTATACAAATTTGTAGTGGCAACAATATCAGCTCATAATTTAAAGTTTTGTCACAAATAATCAGCCAGTGAATAACTGGGATGTTTCACTATGTATTGCTAAAAAAATGTTGTTCATTTTATTCTAATCTGTACTCTGTACTATTAACCTGGACTAAATTTCTCATGAATGTTCTAGACAGTCTGCTTTCCTATTTGCTGATTCTTTCTTGGAAAATTCAAGCAATCAAGCCAGGAAAATTCT